GTCCCTTTTGGTTAATTTTTCTCATCTTTTTCTGTCTCTGGGAATTTTCTTCAACACAAATGTGTGAAGAATAGTATCTAGAAACTTTGTGTAAACTGGACCGCTGGGAAGCACCTTGTTCTTCTGGGTGGGGGAAGTCACAGAGGTTGGCCTCTACCCTATATCTACATGGTGCAAAAGAACGACATTTGAGCTTCTGGCCTCATTGAGTGCTTTCCAGTGACATTTTAAAAAATTATGTTCCTGGTCCTTATGCTGTAGTTTATTATTTGAATACCCTCATGTTAAAATGATGAGCAACTGTTTGCATTGTAGTAACTTCCTTTCATTTTGTATAAAATTGAATATCTTATTACCTTGGTATTGCTAAAAGACAATCCATGTTAATGTATTTTCATGTGATTATTTCTATTACATATTTCTTGATTTTAAATCCAAACAGCATATCACAGATACTGCCAAGCCTGCAGCCAGCGGATCTAATTAAAAACTCTACAGAAATACTTAAATACATTGATTAAAGGCCTATTGAAGAATATCCATCTAATGCTGTTTTGCAGACTTCTGTGTTAGGAAGTGTACCCGCGAATTACTTCTGTTTTTTTTATCTTATGCTGCAGTGGCATAGCCTGAAGACACATAATTCCCCCTTCCACTTTATCATATTTGTCGAAAATAAAAATGCCTTTTCCCCTGAGGTCATGACTATGAGGAGAGGACAGCAGGTGCTCCGTCTGTGACAGCTGTGTGCATATATGTGAACAGAGCTGGCACATACTACGTCCTCCGGGCCTTTTGTCTCCAGGGGCTGTAGCACCATCTTCTGCAGAAAGGGAAGCTCAGGTTTGAGGAGTCATGAACTTAAAAGCCCAAGGGAGAACCTTGTGATGACCGACCAAGCTGATAAGAAATGTCATCTTGACATGGATGTTTTTAGATGATAAACAGAATTATTCCATGCTTTCATTTTTGCCTCACTCTTCAGATTTCCACAACAAAATGTGGCAAATTTCCAGCAAGAACTGACATCTGTGTTCACAGCGGCTTTGTCTCCACCGCAGGGGGTGCTCCACCCACTTTCTAGTGTAGTTTGCAAGGACTGAACCTGTGTGCGCTCAGTTGCTTCCCCTCTCTGTTTCAGCGAGTGTGTGTGTGTGTCTGTGTGTGTGTGAGTCCCTGTGTGTGAGTCTCGGTGTGTGTGAGTCTGTGTGTGTGTGTGTCTGTGTGTGTGTGAGTCTCTGTGTGTGTGTGTCTGTGTGTGTGTGAGTCTCTGTGTGTGTGTGTCTGTGTGTGTGTGTCTGTGTGTGTGTCTGTGTGTGTGTGAGTGTCTGTGTGTGTGTCTGTGCGTGTGTGAATGTGTGTGTGTCTGTGTGTGTGTCTCTGTGCATGTCTGTGCGTGTCTGTGTGTGTGTGTCTGTGTGTGTGTGAGTGTCTGTGTGTGTGTGTGTCTGTGCGTGTGTGAGTGTGTGTGTGTCTGTGTGTGTGTCTCTGTGCATGTCTGTGCATGTCTGTGTGTGTATGTCTGTGTGTGTGTGAGTCTCTGTGC